GGCTTCAATGGTCGAGGTAGGTCTTCGATCGCTTAGCATCAACGTCGATGTTTAAACATTCAAAAAGAGGAGTTTATTCAGGATTTTACGATCGCTTTTACGATGACTTCATGAGATATAGCATACTAGGTCTGTTCGCTTACTTACATATTCTGCGACTGTGGTTCCATAAGACACATTGAAGGAGGAATGTTCTCGGGAGTATCGGATATGACAATGGCTGCGTCAGCATTAGGTGCAGGAGCAGTTCAATCGCAAATGATGCAGAATGCACAAAGCGAACAGCTGACGCAGGATATACAGACTCAACAGAACACGACAAGAAAGTCTAGATCATGCGGTAAGTTGGGTTTTTTTTCGAGCTTCCGAAAATCTCATGCGTTAAATTCACTTTTAGTCGCAACATTCTCGTATATGGCTATGAACGGCTCTCCAGTGTATAGGTGCGAGTGTTCTGGAGAGATCTCTTATCAGTACAATAGATGTGTGGCTCCTGGCGGTTAATTTCTATGACGAAAATTGTAGGCATTGATTTATCTAGTGACGGGCTTGTTATGATTGGAATCCTCTCTGTCTGTTTATCCTCTCAGGTATGAGCACTATATATCTGATGCTGTACAAATCGCATAAAGATCTGCATTTGAAAACGTGTTGCTAAATTTGCATCCAAGGTCACTTGCGTGCCGATAAAATCAAGCATGGGGCGCAATCGCAGCCACAGACCTAGTCAGATTTCAACTTTTCAAAATTGTCGGCTACACGAAAGAAGCAAATAATCTATTTTGCCAACTTCACAATTGTACTTCAAAGCTAACGAAAAACATCAAAGTATTGAGAGTCTTTCAGCACACTGAATGAGCTAAGGTAAAAGAATGTAAGGAGACTATTATTACAAACATGAATCGTGCCACTAACGAATCCCATCACGCTGTATGCCTCCCAGCTGAGGAGAGGGTTGGAGCTTGAATGAATGTCTCATATTCCAAAGTTTCAGAAACACAAATTTTTCCTTGTCTATCCATCTCCAAAGTCTTAGTAAAGAACAGTCTCACATAACTGCCGGAGAGATCAAGAAACAGGTGATGAACGGGTAAGTCTAGTAACAACGCTTCAACCAAGCTTAGAGGGTGCGCAAAACAATGGATGCGATTTTCATTTATTACATAGGATGTCCTATGCATTAACTCATAACATGTCAATAAAACACGAAAATCCATGTGTTAGTAACAAAAGAAACACGTAAAAAT